TATATGTGAACCGGGGGTTAGTGAGTCTCTTTGACCTAAAGCAACACATAGGTCAGGAGGTCACTCTTTATAGGGTGCCGCCATGTTTATGCTCCATGACTCGCTCATCAGTGAAAAAAGGGTAAGGAATACAGACCTCTGCACCTTTTAAGACAGGTCAGCAACAGAAGCAAACACATGGCCCTCCTATGTTCCCTTTAATAGAAGCCCCATCAGAAAGAGCGGGACCATTACCATGGCAGCTGCAGGTAGGCAAAGGGGGGAACTTCATGGTTGATATAATAATTATTACTGGGAAGCCATTTGGCTATCTTCACACCTCTACATTTTGTGTATTAAAGGAAAAAAAAAAAAAAAAAAAAACCTGCTTGCTGCATTTTTGGTACAGCTTCCAGCAGAAGGCAATTCCCATAGCGATGAATACAGTTGCAAGAAAAAGTATGTGAACCCCTTGGGATTACGTGGAGTTTTGCATGAATTGGGCATAAAATGTGCTCTGAACGTCATCTAAGTCACAACAATAGAAGAACACAGTCTGCTGAACATAATACTACACAAACATTAGATGTTGCCATGGTTTAATTGCACATAACATGTAAACATTCACAGTGCAGGGAGGAAAAAGTATGTGAACCTTTGGACTTAATAACTGGTTGACCCTCCTTTGGCAGCAATAACCTCAACCAAACGTTTCCTGTAGTTGCAGATCAGACCTGCACAACGATCTGGAGTAATTTTGGACCACTCCTCTTCACAAAACTGTTTCAGTGTAGCAATATTCTTGGGATGTCTGGTGTGAATCGCTCTCTTAAGGTCATGCCACAGCATTTCAATCGGGTTGAGTCAGGACTCTGACTGGGCCACTCCAGAAGGCGTATTCTGTGCTGTTGCAGCCATTGTTTTGTTGAATTACTTGTATGCTTTGGGTCATTGTCCTGTTGCATCACCCATCCTCTGTGGAGCTTCAGTTGGCGGACAGATGGTCGTACGTTTTCCTGCAAAATGTCTTGATAAACTCTGGAATTCATTTTCCCCATCAATGACAACAATCCGTCCAGGCCCTGAGGCAGCAAAGCAGCCCCAAACCATGATGCTCCCTCCGCCATGTTTCACAGTGGGGATGAGGTTTTGATGTTGGTGTGCTGTGCCTTTTTTTCTCCACACATAGTGTTGTGTGTTCTTCCCAAACAACTCAATCTTGGTTTCATCTGTCCACAGTATATTTTGCCAGTAGTGCTGTGGAACATCCAGGTGCTCTTTTGCAAACTTCAAACGTGCTGCAATATTCTTTTTGGACAGCAATGGCTTCCTCCGTGGTGTCCTCCCATGTACTCCATTCTTGTTTAATGTTTTCCTTATTGTAGATATGTCAACAAAAATGTTAACATGTGCCAGAGATTTCTGTAGGTCTTTAGCTGACACTCTGGGATTCTTATTTACCTCATGCAGCATTCTGCGCTGTGCTCTTGCAGTCATTTTTACAGGACGACCACGCCTAGGGAGAGTAGCAACAGTGCTAAACTTTCTCCATTTGTAGACAGTCTGTCTTACTGTGGACACATGAACATCAAGGCTTTTGGAGCTACTTTTGTAACCCTTTCCAGCTTCATGCAAGTCAACAATTCTTGATCGTAGGTCTTCTGAGAGCTCTTTTCTGCGAGGCATGGTTCACATCAGACAGTGCTTCTTGAAACCAGTAAACACAAAACAGGTGTGTGTTTTTTAAGGGCAGGACAGCTGTCAGCAACACATCCAATATCATCACACTGATTGGAGTCAAGGTTGGCTCACTCCTGGCTCCAATTAGCTCTGGGAGAAGTCATTAAGCTAGGGCCTCACATACTTTTTCCTCCCTGCACTGTGAATGTTTACATGTTATGTGCAATTAAATAATGGCAACATCTAATGTTTGTGTAGTATTATGTTCAGCAGACTGTGTTCTTCTATTGTTGTGACTTAGATGACGTTCAGAGCACATTTTATGCCCAATTCATGCAAAACTCCACGTAATCCCAAGGGGTTCACATACTTTTTCTTGCAACTGTAGTAACACAGGCAAAACACGTCTAAAACACAAAAACAACACCTAAAATGAAAAAATGCAGGAGGTGTGAATATAGCCATAATGTAAAATGAGAAAACGTCAGCATTTCCCTAGAACTGAGATCCATGACCCTCTACAGGATATCCCATAGGCACTCTACAAGGAGAACGTGTATAAAAATAGCATAGTAGTTATCATGCATAAAAGACGTTTCATATCTATTGTGTGTGAATCTGACCTCATTCTGGAAACAAGAAGCCGTCTGCCTCTCAGAGCGGAGATCTCGTGCACACAGAAAGTATCACAGCTTGTCGTCTGTAGTTGTGACATGTAACTGTCACTTTTGTGTCTATCTGTGACTATTCCCCCTGTAAGTAAACGTGTAGTGTTTAAAGCATGCCCAAATGATAAGAAGGAACTAAAAGAAGAACCCTGGTGACCAGGATTAATGCCGATAAAAAGATACAAATGAAGGCAGCTCCGTATTCAATACTACATCACTAAAGCCAAACTCCAGGCACACAGACTCTTCCCAGCATTTCATCAGTTCTGTATTCTGTCCCCCATTCATTGTCCACTTTGTAACCTTTGCAGACTTTCTTCTCCATTAAAGCAGTATTAACCCCAAACCAAAGATGTAATATATTGCAGCTTGCCCCTCATTAGATGTGGTGTCTGCATTAGTTTTCTTGTTTGGCCTTTTCTCTCTGTTTTCACCTGATAATCTGACTAGTAACACACCTTCTGTTTTATTGAGACACCACTCTGGATGATGAGCACAGGGGGCACAGCAGCATTGTCATCCTGGGGGAGGGGAGTGTTAAATGTACTGGCAGATTTAAAACATACTAACAAATTAAAGCCAAACTCCAGCTCATATTTTATAATCAGTTACAGCAGTTTTTTTCTTTTGGGATAAAGGTTTTACATAAATAAATAAGGTGCTGATCATTTTAAGCATACCTATCAGTGTTAAATGGTTTGTTCCATCCATGTAAACTGATACTTTGTGCTGGAGAGCTTGTGCTTTTGAAAGACAACAGACTTGCTGGCTGGATCACCAAATGAAAATAGAAGGAAGCAAGCCTAAAAAAAGAAAATGAATGCAGCCATCACATCTAAGAATTGGTAAGCTGCAATATATGTTTGCTTTTGGGTTTATTACTGCTTTAACTACCTCTCAACCCCGCTGTATTCTTTTAAGGAAAAAAAAAAATGGCAGAGAGGTAGACTTCTAATCCTCCATCTAACGGAGACACAAAAGTACGGCTGGGGTCAAGGAGACTTACAACGCCTGCAAATGAGCGGGGCAGAAGGATGGTGGAAACTGTTCTCCTTCCCACCCCCTCCTCAGCATGTACACTAGAAGATCTAAGATGGGCAGTGTTGAAGTTGGCATTATAGGGAGCAGATTATATAAATGGTTGAACACTGGTAAGTTTTTAGGCCCAAAGTTCAGCATTCATTTTTTTTTAATCAACATAAGCAGCATAAGTACTTGACTTTAATTTGTTATCAGACCCTTGCAATCCCTGTACAGCACTTTAGACTGGGGAAAAAAAACAGCAAAAGGAGCCAATCAGTTGTGCTGCAGTGCTCATGGGCTGTCAAGGGACATGCTAACCCCTGGTTCATATATATATATATATATATATATATATATATATATATATATATATATATATATATATATATATATATATATGGGGCCGTGCAGGTTGCGTTTTGCGCAGGCACAAGAGCCCATTCATTTGAATGGACTCCCGTGCCCCATAGGGAAGAAGTCCCTGCACTTCTAAAAACGCAGCCCGCATGGGAACCTCGGTTCCCATGACGATTGCGTTTTCCAGTGCGGGCGTTGTGCCATTAGAACTAATGGCACCCACTCGCGGGTCCGCATTCCTCTGTGTGGGTGGTGCGGCTGCAGGATTTTCGTTCGGATCAGCAGCCGCACCACCCGCACAGATGTGAAGGGCGGGAGCAGAGCGACAGAGAGATGAGCTCATCAGCCTGCTGCTTCCACCTTTCCTGTCCAGTCACAGGCTGGGGTGGGGACAAGACCTGTAAATGTGATCAAACTGCAGCAAAGAAAAATATGGTCTCCTGCCCTGCCAAACAGGGCTGAGTTGTGTCTGGAGTTCAGCTTTAAGTGTAATTGACCACATAACAATGGAGCCATCTCTGACCCAATGATGTATGAGGAGTGATCTCACCGCTCTGCAGTACCTTGGATGTGCATGATGTAATGGAGTGCTGATGAAGAGGCAGTGCTGGCTGTCAGTTCCTGGACTACAAACTGATACAAATACATGGAACAGAAATGGGAATTTGGCTGTATTCAGTGATTTTTTTTTTTTTGTCATGGCTCCTCATTTCAAAACTATATCTTAGGTCAGAGTTCTTCCTTATGTCCCCTATAGTACATTTTATAAAAGTAATACATTGATTTCCTAATTTAGGGTATAAGCAACAGGCACTTGAACTTTTCTTCTGTTTTTTTTTTCATCCATTATGGAAGTATCATGAAAGTTTATCAATGTGGCAGAACATAAACAGTGAAACTAGTACTGCCACAAACAGGTCCCATTAGATTTGCACTTTGTGTTAGAAAGGTTTATTATGAGAGAGAAGTCAGTATTTTCCATCCCACTGGCAGACCAGCAGCCATGGCAGCACGTGTCAGACCTGACAGCGGAGGGACATGTAACTAACCCACCAAACCGCGATGCAGTCATCACTGAGCCGGAAGCCAATATTTTCCTCTAAGAGGATACGTACCATAGAATTGTTTATTTCCTGGAAATCCTGCCATGCACATAACAGGAAGCATGAAGACAGACTTATTTCTTAAATGCCATCGCAGCAGAATGCTGTAAAGACATAGCCCCTCATGGGGTTAAAGGAGGACCATTCTTCTAATGAGAAGAGATAATAGCAGAACGGCGAGCAGAGAGGATTAGAAGGTGACGTTCAGCCGATTCTTGCTCAGTTCTCTCTCCAGGTTTCCTATCAGGGTGTCTATGCTCTCCTGCAGATCCTGGAGGTTAACGTCCTGCTCCTCGCACACGCCTCCGGCACTGACTCCTACCACGGAGTCCACCGATGCTTCTTTGGCTGTGGTGTGCTCACTTGACTCTTGAGTCCGGACGCAGGTGTCCGGGAATTGGGGGCTTTCCGATGGGACATCTGCATAATCAGCTTCCTCTCTGGGGGCCAATAAGTAGCTTCCTTGGCAGCTGCTCCAGTCTCCTGCATAGCGGTTGCTGGAAGGACTGTCCAAGCGGGCTGCCCTTGGCCTCAGGACTCCGCAGCCGTCCTGAGCTGTTTAAATTAAGCATCTGTGGCCGTGGCTTCTTCCTTCGCAAGCACGGCTGGGACTCTGCTTGTATGCTGTTTGGCATGGGGTCTTTGGGAGATTCGTTCTTTACTGTAAAAGAACATCATTCACATATTTACAACTCGTTCAAAACAACATTTCACCATACATGCTAACTGAGCAGCTTAAGAGGACAGGCCCTCCCTAAAATGATTTTTCAGTTCTGGGTAGAGTCTGGCCAACTGAATCACCCGCCAGCTTCTTGGATCACTTGGATTATCCATCTGAGAGGTTCCAGGGTGAGCTGTGTTGGGTGGAGGGTTGCAGATAAAAGAACAGCAGCAGAGACAGGTCAGTGCTGGATTGCAAAAAAAGAAAAAAAAAAGGCCATGGATTCAGCCCACCACTGTCCACCCATAACTGAAATATCAGTTAAATCTTTTCAAGCAAAAGCACAATCATGCGTGAAGAAATACGAGTTTTATTTCTATATGCAGACAGCACTAGGTATGAAAACAACGTCCTGCGTGGTTATTATTTAGCGAAGTGCACCTGTTCTATATCAAGAACCACAATGTTGTTAAAAGAAAGAAGAATGCTGTATTTATTTATTTATTTCAGGTACTTATATAGTGCCATCAATTTACACAGCGCTTTACATATACAGCATATTGTACATTCACATCAGTCCCTAACCCTCAAGGAGCGTACAATCTAAATTCCCTAACTCACATTCATACATACACATACTAGGGACAATATAGACAGGAGCCAATTAACCTACCAGCATGTCTTTGGAGTGTGGGAGGAAACCGGAGTAACCAGAGGAAACCCACGCAGGCACAGGGAGAACATGCAAACTCCAAGCAGGTGGTGTCGTGATTGGGATTCGAACCAATGACCCTAGTACTGCCAGGCGGAAGTGCTAACCACTTAGCCACTGTGTACAGTTAAAGTAGTCCTGTGCTGTACAAGACAACACTACAGCTTCTGCAAAATCATACTAAAGTTCCTGTGTAAATATTGCATTTATGATAGTTGGGATTTTTTTGAATCTCAGTTCTTCTGGCCAGTTCCGGCAGTTCAGGCAGGTGGTGTCGTGGTTGGGATTTGAACCAACGACCTGAGTACTGCCAGGTGGAAGTGCTAACCATTTAGCCACTGTGCTGCCCCGTACTTCATTTTCACGGTGATTACATTTTAGTAAACTCTTAAAGGGTTTGTTCAGCTTTACCAAAAAAACTGGTTCTGCAGGTAAGGGGTGCCTGTAGATAAAAACACTGTGCTCCTCTGACTAAAGTTGGATAATGCCCTCATTATAGCTGTAGGCCTTTCACATACCCCCAGAAGCCTGACTGAAAAACTCCCAGACATGGATCATCCAGTCCTGTCTGTGCCAAGACAGCAGCCATTACTGCTCACTCACATCTTCCCAGCAGCAAACAAACCCCCGCACATGTGTGATCCACATCTCACAGCATTGCAGAGCAACAGCCACAGGGTAGAGAGAGCGCATGTGCGGGGCTCTGAAGCTGCTGGGCGTCTTAGCGACAATGCAGGGTGGGATGATGCCATCCCTGGGAGTTTTCCCAAAGGCTCACAGAAGTACTTTAATGGCCTATCCATAGGAGGATCCAGCTGACCTACTGAGATGTGTGATTTTTCTCAAATGCATGATGGAATTATGCATCTGGTGAGTGTGCAATTGCCATATTTTTCACCAGAAGATGCACAGTGGATCACTTGACTAAGCTTCACAATATAAATATATAATATATATATATATATATATAGACTATATCACCAGTAGTCACCATTTTGGACGTGCGTTTGCACTTGTGTCACTTTATTTTCCTAATATTGGAAATATACACTTGCAACATTGTTACTTCTTGGTATATCTTTAATGAGAGATCTAGTTTTAGGTTGCTTGCTATTTTATTGATATTAATCATTTATTACTCTGATGTGGTTTTCTAGCGCTGCACCTTTATTTATCACTACAGCAAGGGCATTATCCCACTTCAGTCAGAGCTGCACAGTTTGTTTCCAGCTAGAAGTGCCTTTTACCTGCACATGCAGATTTTTTGGTAAAGGTGAACTAACTCTTTAAAACAGTTATGTTTGAGGCTTGTGAGTCTCCAGTTTTATTGCTGGTGAGTGGACAAGTCACGTGTGACAGGCGACATCGGACACTAAACTCTTCAGCCACCTGATAGCAGTCAAACTCCAAAGGGCTCAACTTGTCAGAAGGAGGGGAGGATTCAAGTATATGTAAACCCATTTAGTAATATTTCATATACGCTTTAACATAGTAATGTGATTCAGAAAGCAGTTTTCAGTCGTTTATAATAAAACCAGGTGATTTTACCACAAACGTCCTTCTTCAGGCACTTCCTGTTATGGGGAGACAATGCCCTCCACCCATCCCCCAATTGTGCTCCTACATTGCCAGCCCGTCACATTCACTCCTGGTGGAGACTACAAGTGGCATTGTCAGCGCACATTGCACAGTCCACCAGAACCGCTACCAGGAAGCTGGTCCACAGCAATGATGTGCAGTAGACAGAGGAGAGTCCATGTAGACAGAACTGGCCAGAAGAACTGAGATGCAAAAAAATCCCAATTATCATAAATGCAATATTTACACAGGAACTTTAGTATGATTTTGCAGCAGCTGTAGTGTTGTCTTGTACAGCACAGGACTACTTTAACTGTACACACTGGCTAAATGGTTAGCACTTCCACCTGGCAGTACTAGGGTGATTGGTTCGAATCCCAATCACGACACCACCTGCCTGGAGTTTGCATGTTCTCCCTGTGCCTGCGTGGGTTTCCTCCAGGTACTCCGGTTTCCTCCCACACTCCAAAGACATGCTGGTAGGTTAATTGAATCCTGTCTAAATTGTCCCTAGTATGTGTATGTATGAATGTGAGTTAGGGACCTTAGACTGTACGCTCCTTGAGGGTTAGGGACTGATATGAAGGTACAATAGACAATCGAAGTGCTGTGTAAATTGATGACGCTATATAAGTACCTGTAATAAGTGTGGCTAACTATGGGCAGTGTAGTGGCTAAATGGTTAGCACTTCCACCTGGCAGTACTAGAATCATTGGTTAAATCACAACCACAGCATCACCTGCCTGTAATTTGCATGTTTCTCCCTGTGCCTGCGTGGGTTTCCTCCCACACTCCATAGACATGCTGATAAGTTAATTGGCTCCTGTCTAAATTGTCCCTAGTATGTGTATGAATGTAAGTTAGGGACCTTAGATTGTACGCTCCTTGAGGGTTAGGGACTGATGTACAATATATATGTAAAGCACTGTGTAAATTGACGGGGCTATAAAAGAACCTGTAATAATAAATACACTGCACTGAAATACTGAAAAGCTTCATAAAGAAAAGAGGAAACTATTTTTTTCTTTTAGCAACATCTATTTGTCAAGGCTACAGGTGCACTTTATATTTTTGCTTGTTTAGTTCAAATTAATATTATTAACATTGAGAGTGTTAATGAACTCTGGACTTAGTAGAAGACTTCAAGTGGAAGTAAATGGTAAAACCTACCTAACTCCAAACCTCCTCCCGGCCACATTCTAAGCCTATCTAGCCCTGTAAGGAAAAGATCGCTATACTCGCCTGTTCTGCCGCCGCTCCGGTCTCCAGCGGCACCCTCTGTGTGCTGGAGAAAGCTGACAGCGGCTGGGAAATGCCTGGGAAGTGATGTCACCCATAGACTTACCATGCAGCTTCTGTTGTTGCCGGTCTCTCCCACATACAGAAGCCGCTGCTGACAGCTCAGCCTGGGACCAGACCGGAGCGGCTGCACAACAGGTGAGTATAGCGATTATTTGCTTTACACCACTAGATAGATTAGGCTGAGGATGTGGCTGACAGCAGGTTTAGTTAGGTAGGTTTTCCTTTACTTTCACTTTAATATAGCTGATAATTATTACACTACCAGGTGCAAAATGCTGTTATCTGAAACATATATATATAGAAGCTTTACATGTTAGGCAAAAACACAATAACTAAAAAAAGCTCACACACATTCTGGAATAGATGGGACCCCTGTCTCCCGGTCACAAGGTGCTTCACATGTGTGTACTGGCAGTTACGTTTTTGCACTGTTTGCAAAACAGTAGAAAAAAAAGGGTGGGCCTTAGTAGGCAAGGGCGGGCAGGCAGGACACAACTCTAGAACAGTGGTTTCCAAACCACTGCCCTTTGCTTGTCTTTATCCAGCCCTTGAGACACTACTCCCCCCACTGACACCAACAATGGGGCATTGTTCCTGCTACTGACATCAATAGGGCACTATTTCTTCCATTGACGCCAAGGATGGGGCACTAGTCCTCAAACTGACACCAACAATGGGGCACTATTTCACCCAATGACACCAACAATGGGGCACTATTTCTCCCAATGACACCAACAATGAGGCACTATTTCACCCAATGACACCAACAATGAGGCACTATTTCTCCCAATGACACTATTATTTCCATTGACGCCAAGAAAAGGGCATTATTCCTGAAACAGACACGAATGATGGGGCACTATTTCTCCCAATGATACCAACAATGGGGTGGCATTTCTTCTATTGACGCCAACAATGGGGCACTATTCCTCAAACTGACACTAATGATGAGGCACCATTTCTCCCAATGACACCAACAATGGGGCACGATTTCACCCAATGACACCAACAATGGGGCACGATTTCACCCAATGACACCAACAATGGGGCACTATTCCTCCCAATGACACCAAGGACAGGGCACTATAACTGAAATGGACACGAATGATGGGGCACTATTTCTCCTTATGATACCAAGAATGGGCTGGCATTTCTTCTATTGATGCCAATGATGGGGCACTATTCCTCAAACTGACACCACTGATGAGGCACTATTTCTCCCAATGACACCAACAATGGGGCACTATTTCTCCCAATGACAACAACGTGGGACTATTCCTCCCAATGACACCAACAATGGGGCACTATTCCTCCCAATGACACCAACAATGGGGCACTATTCCTCCCAATGACACCAACAATGGGGCACTATTCCTACCAATGACACCAACAATGGGGCACTATTCCTCCCAATGACACCAACAATGGGGCACTATTCCTCCCAATGACACCAACAATGGGGCGCTATTTCACCCAATAACACCAACAATGGGTCACTATTCCTCCCAATGACACTATTATTTCCATTGACGCTAAGAAAAGGGCATTATTCCTGAAACAGACACGAATGATGGGGCACTATTTCTCCCAATGATACCAACAATGGGGTGGCATTTTTTCTATTGACGCCAACAATGGGGCACTATTCCTCAAACTGACACCACTGATGAGGCACTATTTCTCCCAATGACACCAACAATGGGGCACTATTTCTCCCAATGACACAAACAATGGGACACTATTTCTCCCAATGACAACAATAATGGGGCACTAATTCTGACAATGACACCAGCAATGGGGCACTATTCATCCCAATGACACCAACAATGGGGCACTATTTCTCCCCCACTTACTAAAGATGCATTGTTTACTCCTACTGACACCAGAACAATTTCTAATCTCAATGGACCCCCTAAAGTCTGAAGGACAGTAAATGGACCCTTTGTTTAGAAAGTTTGGAGACCCCTGATAAAGAATATCAGTCGAATGTAATTGGATGTTCCATCTCTGCTAAATCAAGATGGAGAAGTGACACAGAACAGTAGTGGGTTTGAATGAATTATCACAACTATTAGAAATCCAGTGGATATCAGCTGGCCTTAAAATGAACCTGAAATCAAAAAGTATACATTAATTTTATTAGAGGGAACATTTAGAAATCGTAATTTTTAATTAAAGTAGTCAGAAAATGAAGTGCTAGATCACTTCAGGCTGGCCCTTTTGCAGGAATAGCTATGTAAAACATTAAAAATAAGTGCCTATACTGTTTAAAATCCAGTAATACACTGTCTCCCCTGCTCTGCACATGCTCAGTTGCTCTCTATTTTTTAGTACTGTGCAGAAAATGTAGAGGCTGATCAGCTGACAGCCTAAAGATTTACTGCTGCTCAGAGGCTCCAGGCTTCAGCAAAACGACGACCTCCAGCAAGAAGAAACAGGAACAATGCTAAAGGTAGTTTACAGCACATGATAATTTTGGTAGCATAATGTGGAATGTATATACCCTGCTAAAGAACATTATTTTTTTATCAGGTTGTTATGAGCAAAGTTCCGCTTTAAAAAGTACCCTGAAAATGTACACAGAATATAACTGGATACTAACATTTATAGGTAAAGTTGATCCAGGGAATATCTGATTGCCTCTCGAGGGATCAGGAAGGATTTTTTTTTCCAGCAGGAGCAAATTGGATCATGCTTTGCTGGTTTTTTTTGCCTTCCTCTGGATGAACTGTGGGTATAGGATTAGAACTTCTTTTTTTTTATATATATGGTTGAACTGGATGGACTTTTGTCTTTTTTCAGCCAGACTAACTATGTAACTATGTCTGGAATTCATCCTGAAAAATAGCGGTGCACTTTCTGGTATACGCTGTGCCTCGTTACTCCTTTGCTTACAGCCTCCTAGCTGTATATCTGCAGTGTGAGGTCTAAGGCACTACTGTCTCTGACTGCTAGTATCAGGAGATTTGGGGTAAGATTTGGGGATCCCACTACTGTGTTGATCACTGTTGGAGGCTTCCGCTTGAAAAGGCAAAGCCCTGCCTCTACCAAAATGGCTGCCTCCACACAGAAATATCGTGCAGAACAAGACAAAGCAAGTCAGTAATGAGGAACGATCCCTTCAGGGAGACCATAGGAAATACTGGGGACTAGTCATTTGCTCTCTGCCTGCATACATGTCTACTGGTACCTTGGGCTTGCAACCACCTACACTACCCAAGAATGATGTGCTGTATGAATAGCACTAGGCCTTCCACTGGACCAAAGCATTAGAAGGTTAGAAAACAAACAGAAAATAAGTCGAATCCATTATTACAGGCAGCAAAGTAACTCTTCTCAACTGAGACCTTGGTGAGCCTGGTTCACATTCCCATGGAGAGAAGCATCCGCTGCAGTTAGGTAGACACCGCGCAGAGCCAAATATGTAAATAAGACATGCTCTGCCTGTAACGCCATGCTCACTGCACACGGATACGCCAATTCACTCACATTACAGACCAATTACCTGTGTCACGGCTGCAAAATACCTCCGTTGTGTCATCTGCCTATGGCAAACAGTACACAATGCTTTATCCCCTCACACTTTTGTGATCATTTCTTGAATAAGACATCTCTATACTTAGAGGAGCTAAGAATTTTCCATGAGTCTTGCACAAGTCTAAAAGGACATATCTGTGGTTTATAAGGAACCCCACTAAAAACAGGATTACATAGTTTTAAGGATGGTAATTAGATTTGATGGCTTTATATATGGATCTGGCGACTAGCAAGTTTGGCAAAGAACCTAAACAGCTTCCACAAAAATCTCATAGTAATTGTGTTAGCAAAAGGCATAAAGTAAAAAAGAACTATGTTCATGGTGAGGCCAAAACAGCATACCTGGCCATAACTGCAGTAAGTAATGAAGGACTTCAATGTGTTTTTTGAAATCCAAGGCACTGGCAAGCTCTTCCGAGTCAATGAAAACCCGGTTATTGTGATTGGACGTTTCCTGTCTCTGACTCAGGAGGACCGGTCCAAAGCAGACAGCCAGGTTCTGGCAGGTCATCTTGTTCACTTCGTGATAAGAGGCAACCAGCTTCAAGTGATCCAGCAGCATCTTCAAGGTTGCCTGGAAGACCAATATAAAACGATGAGAGCAGTCCCATGTACTTTTCAGGACATAAATGTACACAACTGAAGTAAGCAATAAGAGGTTTACAGAAGTGCTAAAGGATACTGAAATGTCAACAGAAAAGCAAACAGATAAACTTTTTAAAGTGAAACTTTAACTGAAAAAAAAAAAAAAAAAAGTTTTTTTTTTTTTTCTTATGCAGAAGAGACATACAGGGGTTTTTTTACTAAAGCTGGAGAGTGCAAAATCAGACTCCCTTCTGCATAGAAACCAATCAGCTTCCAGGTTTCATTGCCAAAGCTTCATTAAACAAGCTGAGGTTAGAAGCTGATTGGTTTCTATGCAGAAGGGAGTCTGATTTTGGACTCTCCAGCTTTAGTAAATAAACCCCACATTGTCTTCTAAATGATAGTTTCTTACCTGTCTGTTCTCAGTGTAAAAGTTCAGCATCTGCCGAGTTGAATGAACTCCCATGCATTGACACTCAGGCCTTCTAAAGAAAACGACGTGGATCGGAAACCAGAAGAAGACCGGCCGAAGATGTCAGAAGCTGGGGAGGGGACGGCAAGGCATCACAGCACTGGAGTACTGGAATGGCAGATCAGAAGTGCTCTGCAATCCAAGTATCAATGGGCATCATGGTTGTAGGGTTGGCATTGTCCTGTGTGCTTCACCATTCAGACCACCCATCATAAAGACAGACCAACAGTACTGTGTATGGAGTGGGAGAAAACAGAACGAGCCAGCTGGAAGCTGATGAGTACTTGCACAATAGAGCACACTGGGGATTTACAGGTGCAGGGGAATGAAAAATGTAACACAGAACTGTACTCCCCTCCAGCAATGTGACATCCTCAAACTCTCTTGATGGTATCTTCACCTGGTCCTCTTCCTGTTTCTGGATCTATGGTCTTCTTGATTGGCCAGGCAATGATGATGTAACTACCATACATGTGTAGGAGTTCATTCACAGGGGCAGATTCTGAAATTGTACACTGAAGTGCGCATAAGCAGCTCATTGTACATTTCTCAGAGGATTGCAAACAGGCAGTTAAGAATCCCTTATTGTAACGGAACCGACCCCAGACTGCACTTGGGTACTTCCTTTAGAATACCGCTTTCCCGTCTGAAAACCGACAACAGACACCACAGCTGACCATACAAGACTAAACGACACAAATCTTGAAGTAAACCAGAAGGTAGACTAGTTTATTTGAACACAGATACAAGATATATACACTCAGGGGACAGTCCCCCCCCTGCATAATGACACAGGGCGGGGCAATCTACATTTAGTAACAAGAGACACACAGGTATTCAAACTTCACACCAGCAGACAGTCCCATCAGGGAGGGCGGGCTACTGGAGACCCCCCCCCCCCCCCACTAAGCTACTACACATAAACACATACATCCCATAATAGTTTGCTCCCAAGCAAGACAAACAATACAGTCAGGTCCATAAATATTGGGACATCGACACAATTCTAACATTTTTGGCTCTATACACCACCACAATGGATTTGAAATGAAACGAACAAGATGTGCTTTAACTGCAGACTGTCAGCTTTAATTTGAGGGTATTTACATCCAAATCAGGTGAACGGTGTAGGAATTACAACAGTTTGCATATGTGCCTCCCACTTGTTAAGGGATCAAAAGTAATGGGACAATTGGCTTCTCAGCTGTTCCATGGCCAGGTGTGTGTTATTCCCTCATTATCCCAATTACAATGAGCAGATAAAAGGTCCAGAGTTCATTTCAAGTGTGCTATTTGCATTTGGAATCTGTTGCTGTCAACTCTCAAGATGAGATCCAAAGAGCTGTTACTATCAGTGAAGCAAGCCCTCATTAGGCTGAAAAAACAAAGCAAACCCATCAGAGAGATAGCAAAAACATTAGGCGTGGCCAAAAGAACTGTTTGGAACATTCTTAAAAAGAAGGAACGAACCGGTGAGCTCAGCAACACCAAAAGATCAGGAAGACCACAGAAAACAACTGAGGTGGGTGACCGAAGAATTCTTTCCCTGGTGAAGAAAACACCCTTCACAACAGTTGGCCAGATCAAGAACACTCTCTAGGAGGTAGGTGTATGTGTGTCAAAGTCAACAATCAAGAGAATACTTCACCAGAGTGAATACAGAGGGTTCACCACAAGATGGAAACCATTGGTGAGCCTCAAAAACAGGAAGGCCAGATTAGAGTTTGCCAAACGACATCTAAAAAAGCCTTCACAGTTCTGGAACAACATCCTATGGACAGATGAGACCAAGATCAACTTGTACCAGAGTGATGGGAAGAGAAGAGTATGGAGAAGGAAAGGAACTGCTCATGATCCTAAGCATACCACCTCATCAGTGAAGCATGGTGGTGGTAGTCATGGCGTGGGCATGTATGGCTGCCAATGGAACTGGTTCTCTTGTATTTATTGATGATGTGACTGCTGACAAAAGCAGCAGGATGAAGTCTGAAGTGTTTCGGGCAATATTATCTGCTCATATTCAGCCAAATGCTTCAGAACTCATTGGACGCCGCTTCACAGTGCAGATGGGCAATGACCCAAAGCATACTGCAAAAGCAACCAAAAGAGTTTTTAAAGGGAAAGAAGTGGAATGTTATGCAATGGCCAAGTCAATCACCTGACCTGAATCCGATTGAGGATGCATTTCACTTGCTGAAGACAAAACTGAAGGGAAAATGCCCCAAGAACAAGCAGGAACTGAAGACAGTTGCAGTAGAGGCCTGGCAGAGCATCACCAGGGATGAAAACCCAGCGTCTGGTGATGTCTATGTGTTCCACACTTCAGGCTGTAATTGACTGCAAAGGATTTGCAACCAAGTATTAAAAAGTGAAAGTTTGATTTATGATTATTACTTTTGGTCCCTTAACAAGTGGGAGGCACATATGCAAACTGTTGTAATTCCTACACCGTTCACCTGATTTGGATGTAAATACCCTCAAATTAAAGCTGACAGTCTGCAGTTAAAGCACATCTTGTTCGTTTCATTTCAAATCTATTGTGGTGGTGTATAGAGCCAAAAATGTTAGAATTGTGTCAATGTCCCAATATTTATGGACCTGACTGTAGAACAATGGGATACAGCCACATAACACCAAACAATCCACAACCCCCACCCCACCTATCTCCTAGACATGTCTACACAATATTAGGACAGATCACCCTGTACCCCTAACAGGCACAGAGTGATTTACACAAAAGAGGGATATGGGGAGCTGAGACAGGGGTCTCTCCACCTCTCCAAAGTGAGCTGGTTTCCATGGGCCCCCCACCCAAAGTGACTCCCGTCACACTTATTGCAAAAGAGATCTAGTATACTGCCTCTGCCTGCTAATCTCAGGTGATTTTGACATTTGGTGATGTTACTGCTGTGCTGCTCACCGTTCTTGCTGGAGGCTCTGATACAGGGAAGCAAATCCCTGCCTCTACCAAGATGGCCACCTCCAAACAAACACTGTGCAAAACAAGGCATGGGGCAGCACAGTGGCTAAATGGTTAGCACTTCCGCCTGGCAGTACTAGGGTCATTGGTTCGAATCCCAGCCACGGCACCACCTGCCTGGAGTTTGCATGTTCTCCTTGTGGCTGCGTGGGTTTGCTCCGGGTACTCCGGTTTCCTCCCACACTCCAAAGATTTGCTGGTAGGTTAACTGGATCTTGTCTAAATTGGCCCTAATATGTGTATGTATGAATGTGAGTTAGGGACCTTAGATTTTACACACCTTGAGGGTTAGGGACTGATGTGAATGTATAATATATATGTAAAGCACTGCAGAATTTGACGGTGCTATATAAGTACCTTGAATAAAAAAATGTTAAGTCAGCAATGTGGGGGAAAAAAAAAAATCAGCTGCAGAGAAACCACAGGCAATACTGGTGACTAGTTCTTTGCCCTCCGCCTGCCTTTTTTTTGGGCACAACTTCCATAGTTCAGTTCCTCTTTAATCTATATGTCAGGAACATTTTATGCTGAGGTTTTCTGTGCTGGATGTAGTGTTGGGGGAATGGTATAGCATTGAGAAGTGCTAGCAGTACTTACTCTCTCCACATCAGGCAGCCAGTTCAGGAGCTCCACTGTGTGCTCGGAGTCCCGGAAGTCATTCTCACAGCCATTCCCAGACATCTTTAGCGGTTTTTCTGCCATGGCATGTAAAACGGCTTCGTACAGCTGCTTGGTTATCAATGGAGAAGGGAGTTCTCTCAGGTAATCCTTTAATACACCTGCAAAACAACAAGAGGCAGAAACTCGTAAATATTTCTAACACTTTAACTCGGTGTGGAGATTTACTTGTAAGAATACTTTAGCTGTACACATTACAACTGGCAAATTCTCAAACTCCACGCAAAATGGACAACCGGTTAAATGCCAGTGGCAGATTCACTTACCAGCATATATACCACATAAACCTGAGCCATGTTTATGAGAATCTGAGGCTCAAAAGAGCCAAAAAATAAACAATTTCCCTCCGAAAGACATCATTATCCACTCAGTAAATTAGATGGGTTCTGGCTGAGGTCATGTCAGGCGGTTCAAAGTACAGATCCTGCAAGCCAAAATTACAGTCTGCTGTCAGGCAGTATTTCACTATAACAGTCTGTGAGGTCTGACATCGGAATCAACAAACCCAAAGTTTACCCCAGGCAGAGAGATAACAATAGAAGATCACTTCTAGTACTAGGTAGCGCACAACCCTCTCCACCCCAAAATGATATTTCAGCTGTGAGTAGGCAATGGTGGTTTGAATCACTTACAATCTGATATCTCTTAGAGACTGATAAACCTATTTGCAGCAGTTTGTCTGCCTCCTCCTACAAGACTACAACATTGGGATCACTTTCTTGCTGAGAATTCACAATATTTGCATTCTACACTACGGTCAATGCAATGTATGACATAACATACATGACATAACATACGTGACATAACATACATGGCATAACATACGTGGCATAACATACGTGGCATA